CAGTCATAAGTAGCACAGGTATATTTGTAGCAATAGTCAACAATACACTGTATGGGTCAAAATTATTATAATTTTTCTTTAAGCCAAAAATCATTAGGATATAAAGTAAAGATTATGTTCCATGAAGACATTTTGTAAATTTCCTACCGTAAATATATCAAAAATAAATTTTTGATTAGTAATATGTATTGCTAAGAACTTCATCTGGACAACTTTAAAGGCGATTTTCTCAATATTTTGATTTTTTTGCACCCTCAGATTCCAGATTTATATCCCTCAAATAGTTGTATCTCGGCCAAATATTATGTTTTGTTCCTATCCTAACAAACCATACATCAATGAAAAGCTTATTTGTTCAGCTTTCAGATGATGTATAAATCTCAATTTCGAAAAATTGACCCTTATGACTGGTCTTGTGCTCCATAGGATAAAATAAAATGTAAATTTCTTGTTCACTTTTAAAATCTCTGTATGTGCTGTGAAGAAAGTGTTTACATTTAGATGAATAAATAATAAGGATAATATTATTTTAGAAATGCACCTTTTACAGTTTCAAAGAGTAAGAGGAGAAAGGAGACAAAAAATCATGGACATACTGATATAAACTGCTGCTTCTCCTGCAGGTGGATCCCCGTATTTGGCAGCAAAGATCAATGAAGCAAAAGATCTTCTTGACTCTGGCCCTCGGCGCTGACCCAGCTGCCCGCGCTACCCCAACAGAGAGTTACATCTACTTCAGAGCCGCCAACTCACCCATGAGTCTCCACAAGTCATTGTTCTCCTCCATGTTTTTCTGCCATAAATCAGCTGACTCTCAGCATACTGCATTCTGTTCTATCTGTCACTGTTCCCCACCACCGCTTAATGCAAGTCGGCAAAGGTTGATCCTTCACGTTAAAGGATCTTCACGCTGTCCATGTGAAATATCGCTCAGTATTCTTTATTATTTATTGAGGTGACTTGTGTAATGTTTAACGTCTGCTGAACAATGGTGGATGTATCTTTTCCAGTGGTCTAAAAAGCCTAAAGTATTTCCTCTAACCCGTAGGGACCAGACTATGTAGGTGTTAAGTTATTTTAGCATGCTGAATAAACTGTTTTACAAATCTGGAATGACTCATTGTATTTGTGTGTTTGCTTGTATGGTACCATGTTCCTCCCGCTGTACTCTGGCTGATGCCTGCGGTACAGATGCTTGTCTGGTCTGCACATCTGACGGATCCACGCAGGAACAGAGCGGCTGGGATTGGACAGAGGGACGTTCTGTACGCCATGACTTGGACTGCTGATTTGCCGTTTGTCAGACTGAGATTAATGCCAAGGACAGGATAGCACAAAACAAGCTGCACAAACCAGTTACACTTAAGACTGGTTTTGTGGTCCAGGGTCACATTCAAATAAATATTTAAAAAGTTGGGCAAAAACTGATGCTGTTTGTAAACATGTAGTGTAACATTTTATAATATTTGCCATAATTGTTCAAATTATTAAATCCAATTTATTTCAGTTTATTCATTTAAAATGTTTGACAACAATGGAGTCTAAATATTGGCCAAAAAGTTACTCAAAAATAATATTTATTTGGATGTTTGGACACATAGATTTTATATTAAATGAATAAATATATTATTTATAATATAGTATAATATATTTATAATATATAATTTTTTATTAAAAAAAAAGATAAAGCACATATGAATGCCTTATCTTGCATGATCATATTTTAGATCCCTTAATTCTACCCCATACCTAAACTTTAACAACTACCTTACTAACTATTAATAAGCAGCAAATTAGCAATTTATTGAGGGAAAATTAACAGTGAATATGTGTTCTAAAGTGTAACCATTATTTTAATTTAATAATGATTTATGATTTAATATTATTCATTATAAAGCATTGTCAGCTTCATTGTGATCGTAATAAATATAATGAAATATAATTAAAATTAAAGTAATTGTCAATAAATGAAATATTTTTGAATTTTATTTTTATTAGTAATTTTAATTTAATAATGATTTATTATTTAATATTATTCATTATTAAGCATTGTCATTGTGATTGTAATCATAATCTCATTTATTATCATTATTGTGATTATTTAATTTTATTGTTTATTATTTTTATTTCATAATTTATGATTTATTATTATTATTTATCATTTCAATATTTATTTTCATTTTGAACTCTTTTAATCTCTATCTGAGCATTAACGTTTTGTTTTCCTTCTCTTTTGCCCTGACATTCTCCATATGTGCGTATGTGCCGGTCCTGCCCTCTCAGTCTGTCCCTGTGTCCCCGTCCCAACAGGAACAGCTCATTCATGACCAGAGTACCAACCCGCCGACCCCGGCCACACCGCAGTCCCCCAGCGCAGAGGCCGAGACCCCCGGCACGGCTGTTCAGATGACATGGACCGAAGCAAAGTGCGATGGAGAGCAGGCCAAACCTATAGGAGCCACGACACCAGAGGCCATCAAAGACCTCTTCAACATGAAACCGTGAGTGCAGCATGCGCCAAAAAGTCACTTGATTTAAAAATATGTGACCCTGGAGCACAAAAGCAGTCTTAAGTCGCTGATATATCTGCAAAGGTTTGAATTCAGGTTCAGTTTTGCATTGCACACTTTTACACTCGTCTTTCTTTTTTTTTTTGTCATGCCACAGAGAGTGGGAAAATCTGTGAGTATCTCTGTCAGTGATGCACATGTTCACACTCACTGATGTTGATGAATGTTTATGAGCTTGTGGTTGATGGTTTTGTTTTCAGAAACCAGTCCAACTTGAGGCGCATGCACACTGCACTCAGACTCAATGAAGTCATCATAAAGAAATCCCAGGAGGCCAGACTAGTCCTGCTCAACATGCCCGGACCGCCCAAAAACAGAACCGGCGACGAGAACTGTATCCTGATCATTTTTTGTGTTACATTGTCTCATTGTTTCCCTTTAGAAAAGTATGGTTATTATTCATTTTTATTCCAATTTTTTGGTAGTCCAAAAAAATAATGGGTCAAGAAAGATTTTAAAATGGAATCTGTTTTTAAATGGTCACATCGGGTGCATTGCATTATGGGAAACTATGCAAATACACTTCTGTTCAAAAGTTTTTTTATGAAAGAAATTAGTGCTTTTAGCCAGAAATTATACATTAAATTGATCAAATATTATTTTAAAGATATGCATAATGTTACAAAAGTTTCGAATAAATGCTGCTCTTTTGAACTTTCTGTTCATCAAAGAATCCTGAAAATAAAAAGTATCAGTTTCCACAAAAATATTAAGCAGTACAATGTTTTCAACACTAATAATATGTAATAATACTTCAACACTAATCATATGTTTCTTATATGCAGCAAATCAGCATATTAGAATGATTTCTGAAGATTATGTGACACTGAAGACTGGAGTAATGATGCTGAAAATTCAGCTTTGATCACAGGAATAAATTATATTTTACAACATATTCAAATAGAAACCAGCTTTCTGAAATTGTAATAATATTTCACAATATTACTGTTTTTACTGTATTTTTGGCCAAATAAATCCAGCCTTGGTGAACATGACACACTTGTTTCAAAAATCTTACGAACACCAAATTTTTGAAAACATTTGCATACTGTTCACCATATATAGTAAATACTGCAAGAGCTCTCAGTTCCTTGACTCTATCAATCAGACATGGAATTCATGGAGGTTTTAACCGAAGGTCTCAACCGGGTCCTCCTCGTGCGTGGTGGAGGTCGCGAGGTCATCACCATCTACTCTTAAGAAACTAGTCGACTTCATCCCAGTCGTTTTTGCCCTCCTTCCCCAGTGTGGCCCAAGCAATATCCCAGAATTCCCTTGCATCAACCAGCTTCATTCGTCCAACAGAAAATCCCGTTCTACTGGCCTGCCAAGCTCTCACTGGCCAAACATCGCTCTTGGCGTTACTCTCGTTCATGATGGACGTGATCCACACTTCACTGTTCAATGAAGTGCACTGTTGATGTCAGTGGGTATTTGTTCAATGCCCCGTCTGCTGTAGCTTTCCTACATCATCTGTCAATCACCGCTCTCACCCAATCGAAGAAGCGGGTGGGTTGGGATTGATTAGTTTTTATTTATTTGTTTTGAGGAAGAGGATCCAGAGAAGAATGTGCAACGTCAAGGATTCGACGTTCAAAACTACGCCAGTGAACTACTTCTGCTCTGGTAAAGACTGACAACCTTGGGAAAAGATTTTCATGGTTTGAGCTCGATCCCTTCGGTCTGCGGATTGGTCAAATGTGAATTAATAATGAGTTAATACTATAATGTGAATTGTGAAATGTGAAGTTTAAAGTCGGCATGAAATGAAACTTAGACCTATTTACTTTCGTATACGATCAGTGCATGTTATTCCAAAGAAAAAATTTGTTTTTATAAAGTTAAAATATAGAAATTGCTTCTGAAAACCTCTGAAACAACTCCAATCCATCTTATTTTTCATCCCCCAATCAAATCTATCTTCCATTTTTTGGTTATCTTCTTAAATGCTTGCATTATGGAAGTAAAATGGTTTGCGATCGGCATTTCACGTTGACTTTAAGCGGGTTCGTCTGCACAAGGATCTTTTGTGTTTTTGTTTTGCCTCATCAACCTCCCCCATGTTTTTATTCGTTCCTAGCTATCCCCCTGCCAAATACAGTCACAATATGTGCCAAAAAACAAGGCTGGCAGGGTGTGCGACTTGCTGTTTGACAGCAAAGCAGTGAGTGAGAGTCTATCGGTGCAACCGACACTGTAATTAGCGAAAGAACGAGCTAGAAAAAAAGTACTCAGCCACTGAAGTAGTGTAAATAGTGTACAAGGCATTATTAAATATCAGTGTAATATTTTTATTGTGAAATAACCGAAGATTCTGGTGAAGAAACGCTGTTGTCTTACAGGGTCAGGGTGTTTTGGGTGGCTACAGGCTTCACTATGGCGGCTTGAAGTGTACTACGGTACCGAACCTCCCCTCCCCAACAAGCACTCAACCTGCACTGACAGCCACTGTGTAACAAATGATTTAATGAGTCTGTGGATTCATTAAATGAAGTGTGTGTGTGTGTTTGCATGAGTGAATGAGCGAGTTGCATCCTTGAGCAAATGGAAGTTGCCCCCCCCCCCCCATTCTGTC